GGGGGGGGGGGAGGGATGCTACTGAATAGAAATGCTTTTCTTGGTAAAAATTTTGCTGATCCAATCATTAAAAATTAACAAAATGTTTTTTTTCCCAATCTCAAATATCAATAAAAAATACCCACCCCTGACCCCTGACCAAAAACTTTACAACAGGATACCATTCAGTTGTCACATATGTCCTTTATCACTCCTGTGACACGAGTTTGATAATTGCTTGTGCAATTTTCTGCAGTCTAAAGTTTCATGTTATCGGCACATGTACTTTCTTTGGAGACACCAGTTGCCTCCTGACAAATCGGGAAATGATCAAGACAATAAATCTTTATTACTTTGTTTTTCATTTACCCAACTTTATTGTTTTGTTTTTCATTTACCCGACCTTTTACTCACTCAAAATTTTGTTTATCCAACCCTTTTCTCTTCGGTGCACTCCCCCGCCATACTTAATGACCACTCCCTAAGACATAACATGACAGAATAATTAATCTTGATGATTCTTACCGAATTCACAGCAAAGCTAGGGGCAATTTTCTCTCCAATTTCCTTCAGTTGATCAGCGAATATTTGTCGATCTTCTGTTGCTATGATAGATTTAACAGCAGTGCCGAGGACCTAGGAAAAACGAATACATTTTACATATACACATACTTTATTGCGCAATAGACCTTTCCCCTTTTAAGTTAAATTTTGATCTAGACAAGCCTGGACAAAAATTTCATCACAGCTTGAAAGAGCATCACAAAATTAGTAATATTCCGAAGTTTCGTTGCAAAATGTTGTAAAATGCGGATAATATAACGTTGCGAAGTTTGCCGTTTTTCAGTCATTTTGTATTACAAATGGGAAATTGATAATCAGTTTGATCATCTGATTATCAATTTCCCGTTTGTGATACAAAATGACTGAAAAACGGCAAACTTCGCAGGGCTATATTATCCGCATTTTACAACATTTTGCAACGAAACTTCGGAATATTACTAATTTTATGATACTCTTTCAAGGCTGTGATGAAATTTTTGTCCAGGCTTGTCTAGATCAAAATTTCACTTAAAAGGGGAAAGATTTATTCCCCAACACAAAATATTATATACTGTTGTTAAAATTGTCTAACAAAAATCGTTAAAACGTCCAAAAAGGGAAGCTGCATGTATATACCTGTACATTATATTTGCTAAATACTCCAGATTTCCATAATTCCACACCTTGAAGAAAATACGAGGTTTAGCATTTTGAGGTGTGTGATTCATTCCTGCGTTTAATCAATGTTGGTAATGTCGTCTTTAAAAAATCTCTTAAAGACATAACATCTATTCCTCTCTTATTAACACATGCACCCCATAAATGCTTAAAAAAACATATCATATAGATATATAAAACCTAAAGAACTTCTAAAATTTTTAAAACAATTTAATTTTTTAAAATCCTAGAAGTTCTTTAGGTTTTATATTCATATGTTTTTAATAATAATTGTTTTCAAAGCATTTATGGTGAGATGAGAGAATGAGTTATGTCTTCAAAGGATTTTTTGAAGTTATCAAACTCTTTCCTTGCTTCGATAAAATGAATTTGTGCGAAGGGTAATGTCGTCAGTTGAGGTTTTTCGTATATTTTTTGAAAACATCATTAAAGTGTGGGATTTAAAATTGACCTAATAAATCGCCGACGAAGTAAACGTGAGCCTTAGATTAACAAAAAACTTTATATTCATAAAATATGACAACTTTAAATAATTAAATGATTTTTTGCATGAGTGTATATCTGCATGAGTGTATATCCACACCGGGCAGGCTGGAAATTTAAGAAAATTAAATGAAGTTCAATAAGATTTTACTGTTGTGTTACTTCCATTCATCGCATCTCGAAAGTCACGACATTGATGTTTTCATTTGTTACCTTTTCCACATTTTTGCAGGCTTACCACAATTGAGAGCAGTTTGTCCTCCCATTGAAAGCAAAATGCCGTCTGGATTTTCCTTCTTTATAACATCTTCAACATATTCCGGTGTGATTGGAACAAAATACACTGTGTCTGCCTGGAAATCAAAGATCAGAAGTTATTTTAAGAATTTGACATGAATGGCATATATAATATGTTGTACAAGATGCATCGAGGCCTTGTTGGATTCAATCTTCCTAACGATATATCTCCTTTAAATAGAGCATCCAGGCTCCTTAATTCCTCTCCTTTCCGCCAAATCCAATGCAATAACAATGCATACAAATGTTCATTTTATCGGAGAACAATCATCAAATGAAAA